CAAATTAAGCATTCCACTAGACAGCTTGCTTTATGACTTAAAGTAGTGCATTCATTATTGTTGTTTGCTAAAGCAAGCATTTTTGCTCGAATCCCTAAGCTGAAGAATGACATTTAAATACTATGTGGCATCTAGTGTTTCGATACGATACTTCGATAGGATACCTTGAAAAATATTGATATTCAATACCGTTTTTGATACCATTTTTAAATTTTGTTTAAATCTCTAAGCAGAAGAATAACATTTTAAAATACTAAATGGCATCTAGTGTTGATACAATATTTTGGTATGACACCTTGAAAAGTATTGATATTTAATACCGTTTTTAATACCATTTTTAAATTTAGTTTAAATCCCTAAGCAGAAGAATGACATTTTTAAATACTAAACGCCAACTATCATTTCAATACGATACTTCGGTACGATACCTTGAAAAATATCAATATTTGATATAATTTTTGATACCATTTTTGGACTGTTCCAATTTCTAAGCAGAAGAACGACATTTTTAAAATACTAAACGGCATCTATCGTTTCGATACGATACTTCGGTACGATACCTTGAAAAATATTGATATTTAATACCGTTTCTGATACCATTTTTTAATTTTGTTTAAATCCCTAAGCAGAAGAATGACATTTTTAAATACTAATTTGTCATCTAGTGTTGTCACAATACTAGCATTTCCAAATTCCATATGATAGCTTGAAAAATATCAATATTCGATACCATTTTTGATACAGCTGTACAACATTAAAAGTATACAAATTAAGTAATAAGGGGGGGGGGGATACTAAACCATACAATGTTTTGCATTTTATAATTTATTTAATTTATATTATGATAAATGTTATAATCGCTATGTCAGCAGTCCTTAGATCCAAAAAGACAATAAATTATTAGTAAAATTCTGTCATTAGTGAGTTTTTTTGGTTTGTTTGTTTTTTGCGAAAGCAAGTATTTTTATAAGCAGGTTTAGGATGTTTGTTTTAATCCTAAAGCAGAAGAATGACATTTTTTAATAATACTATATGGCATCTAGTGTTTCAATGCGATACTTCGGTACAATACCTTGAAAAATTGCGATATTCAATAACATTTTTGATACCTTTTTTGGACTTTGTTCAAATCCCCAAGCAGAAGAATGACATTTTTAAATACTAAATGGCATCTAGTGTTGTCACGATACTAGTATTCCAAATTCGATATGATAGCTCAATATTCGATACCATTTTTGATACAGCTATACAACATAAAAGTATATAAATTACGAAAAAAAGGGGGGAAATACTAAACCATTCAATTCTTGCATTTATAATTAATTTAATTTATTTATATTATGATAAATGTTAGAATCGCTATGTCAGCAGTCCTTAGATCCAACAAGACAATAAATTATTAGTAAAATTCTGTCATTAGTGAGTTTTTTTGGTTTGTTTGTTTTTTGCGAAAGCAAGTATTTTTATAAGCAGGTTTAGGATGTTTGTTTAAATCCCAAAGCAGAAGAATGACATATTGAAATACTTAATGGCATCTAGTGTTTCAATACGATACTTCAGTACGATACCTTGAAAAATTGCGATATTCGATACCATTTTCGATAGCATGATACAACATTAAGACTATAGTTATGAAGTAAAAAGGGGGAGGAGAACTACTCCATAAGCAATCAACTATTGCTTACATTTTGGTTTAGGAAGTTTGTTCAAATTCCCAAGCAGAAGAATGACATTTTCAAATATTTAATGGCATCTAGTGTTGTCACTATACTGGCTTTTCCAACTTCAATACAATACCTTGAAAAATATCAATATTTAATACAACAATACAACATTTCGTGTACATAAATGAAGTAAAAAGGTGGTGGGGAAACTAAACTATACAACGTTTTGCATTCTATAATATATTATGTTGTATTTATAACATAATGAATTTTATAACAGATCTCAGCAGTCCTCGTAGGGTAAAATATGACCAAACCCAAACTGTTTGATCAAGTGTTGGGTTAACACAACCAAGTATTATTAGTATTACTGAATGCTCCTTAAGTATATATTATCATGACATAATAGCCTTAGGTAACAGGTATAGTTTAGTCAAACTAGCTAAAAAATAGCCTAGCCTAACCATAGTTACAGGCATGAAACATGAAAAATCTGAAAAATATTTTAACTAAAATTTAAAGTGACGATTGAAAAGTCCCTGAAATTCCATGAGTCGGACACCAAAGAATTCCTGACTTTTAATATCTGGAATTCACCTTTTAAAATTCTCTGATATTCCAGATATTCCATGCCCCGTGTGAACCCTGCTTTCTTGAAAGAAACTAAGACAATTTGTGATTCGGGTGTCAGAAAATCAGAGTTAGAGAGAAGCTCATCACCTAGAACACCCTGTCAACAACACAGCAAACAAAAACTACCCAGAACCCCTTAGCAACCGCAGACCGACAGCCTGGAAACCACCTACGAGACTCTTGCAACCGTGGGCACGTTTTGCATGGGCAAACAAACACTACATGTTTACTTCAGAAATCTAGTTCAGCTTGCTTTCACGCACATCAAAGCAACACTAAGCTAATATTGTCTGATTTCCCTGACGAGACACATGACTAGTTTAATCCCACAGTGTAGCAAATTACTCGGACTTCCCCTTGTAAATCATTGATCTCGGTTTTGTTCAATAAACGTGTGGGATTTCCCCGTGGAAGTGGTTGTACGTAAATCTTGTGTCACCAGCTTTCAGAAGCCACGTCATGTTTAAAGTTGCAGCATTTAGTATTGATTTTGAACTAGGTTTTTTCTTTTTTTCACAAGCACAGGTTGCCAAATTGACGACATTAACAGGAGCGAATGTGCCTGAAGATCGTGCCTTACACTTATAATTGCTTGGCTAATATTTAAATTTGTGATATTTGCATTATTTTCTAATTAATAAACACCTTATGTCATTTTTTATAAACGCCCACTATGCCCACATATATTTGAGGGAGCCTTCAAGACTGAAATTCGGTGTGTTTTCCACTGACCCTAGACTCTAGATGGATGTCTGGCAGGTTGCCAGATAGACGGCACTAACACGAGCAAAAGCGCGTTACAGTCGATGTTTCTTCATGGGTGTTTTGTTTACACCAAAAATACCTGTAATGCTATCTTACCATACAACTATGGAACCAGACTAGTCTCAAAAATAATACGTTTACAAAAATAAAACTCAAACATGCACAGCACAATTCACATTTACAACATCCAATCTGTAAAATCAAAACACAACTTGTGAATTCACAAGTAAAAATACTTAATACGTAAATACAAATTAATTGGATTTGCGCATTTATAAATTGTGTTTTGAATTAACGAATTAGATTTGCCCATTTATGAATAGTGCTTTGAATTTACGAATTTTTATGAATTGTGTGTTAAAATTACGGATTGGAATTGCGCATTTATGACTTGTGTTTTGAATTAACGATTTAGATTTGCACATTTATGAATCGTGTTTTAAATTTACGAATTGGATTTGCTAATTTTTATGAATCGTGTGTTGAAATTACGAATTGGATTTGCGCATTTATGAATTGTGTTTTGAATTTACGAATAGAATTTGCGTGTTTATGAACTGTGTTTTGAATTAACGAATTAGATTTGCGTATTTATGAATTGTGTTTTAAATTCACGAATTGGATTAACGAATTTTTATGAATCGTGTTGAAACTACGCATTAGATTTGCACATTTATAAATTGTGTTTTTAATTTACGAACAGAATTTGCGTGTTTATGAATTGTGTTTTTAATTAACGAATTGGATTTGCAAATTTTTTATGAATCGTGTGTTGAAACTACGAATTGGATTTGCACATTAATAAATTGTGTTTTAAATTCACAAATTGGATTTGCGGATTTAAGAATTGGGTTTTGAAATTACGAATTGGATTTGCGCATTTATAAATTGGGTTTAAAAATTATGAAGTGGATTTGCGAATTTAGGAATTGGGTTTTGAAATTATGAATTGGATTTGCACATTTACTAGGTGGGTTTTGAATTACCGAATTGCGTTTTGAATTAACGAATTGGATTTGTGCATTTATGAATTGTGTTTCAAACTGAATGTGTATTTATGAACTGATTTGAATTTACGAATTTTTGTATGTGTAAATTGTAAATGTAATATTTTTGAGACTGATCTGGCTCCATATAAAATTAACTTAAACTTGCTCGTTCAGAGACGGGAACCATCTGGAGCTCCTAAACAGGACTCGAGACTTGTTAAACACTAGCCCGGAGTGCTGCAATATAACTGGCTAAACTGGCAGTGGGCGGAGTTACACATACCAAAACAAAGGCAAACATTCCAACACGTAACGCACATTTTTAAAGCAGAATAACTGACATAAGCATTGTTTTTTTTAGAAAAATAAGTATATTCACTCAGCATGTCTCCCAAACATCTGCAAACATAATATTATTATGTTTTATAACAGTCAAGAACGTACATACATCACCCTTAAAGTGGACCTAATATGCAAAAATCCCCTTAATAAGGGGTTTAAACACAGTTGTGTGGCAGCAGCCTGTGAATATAACCAGCCTCTAGTGGTAAACATTGATTAATTCTATTTTTAATAATCACACTTGATCGAAACAGTCTGCAGAAACACTTTGATTGACATTCTCCCTTTGTACGCGTCATCAGAAGGGGAAAGCCCCGCCCACTACTGACCATCATTAGCATAAACAGCCTGTTGTAAATCTGCCACTATACTAAAACACAGGTAATTTTAGCTCCACCCTATTATTAAAATAGGATCTCATTTGAATTTAAAGCAACAGTCACTAAAAGAGCACAATTAAATCAACACCTAAAAAGCGGCCAGTTACTCCAAACAACTATAAAACATGATCAGCATCGTATTTTAAGCTGTAACGTCACGTCACACACAGACTTATTTGGCATCTAGTAAAAATGGGCATAATAGGTAGGATTTCAGCATTCCTCACCTGTTTGATCAGCATGTAGGTCTCCGACATGATCTTCTCGATGCGCTGAAGGTCGTAGGTCATGCCCTTTTGACCCTGCTGCCACACCCTGTACGCATCCAAAAGCAGCGTCTTTCCAGACTCCACGTCATCCAGCAGTTTCCTCTTCCTGCTGGGTCTCTGCGGGACCACCAGATCAGCGCCGCTGGGTAGAGGTGTGGGAGTGATTGGAGTCGTGGCTGGTTTAGCTGCGTTCACCTGATTTTGTATCTGTTGCTGCTGTTGTTGTTGTTGTTTAGTGCTAATGCTTAACTCCTCCAGCGATAGCTCTGACGCTCTACTGCTCTCTGGGAGTTTTTCAGTCTCTTCCGCTGCTGATTTAACAATCTCCTGTGATCCAGCATCAACATGTGGGTCTTTGAATTTTGAGGAACTCAACCACGAACCCGAGCCGAGCTCCATGGGTTCTGAAGTAGCCTGAAGTGTGGATGCCGTGGCCTGAGGCAAAGGCTCCAGGGAAAGCTGGAGTGTTGCTGAACATTTCTGAGGAAAGCTAGGAAGTCCGCTTTCACCTCCTGTAGCCGTAGGGGTTTCGGGGACTGCTGTTTTTGGCTGGCTGGACTGGGAGGATTTGGGATCCTCCGCGGCGGGTGGTCTGTTGGACACATCCGTCGTGGTCATTTCACCCATACCAGTGGCAGACGGTTTAGGGGGATCGCTCGTCTGAAAGAGAGAGAAAGAAAAGCAAGTATTCTAACACGCTTCCCACTCTTTCAAAAATACCTGTAATGCTATCTTACCATACAACTATGGAACCAGACTAGTCTCAAAAATAATACGTTTACAAAAATAAAACTCAAACATGCACAGCACAATTCACATTTACAACATCCAATCTGTAAAATCAAAACACAACTTGTGAATTCACAAGTAAAAATACTTAATACGTAAATACTTGCCCAAATTAATTGGATTTGCGCATTTATAAATTGTGTTTTGAATTAACAAATTAGATTTGCGAATTTTTATGAATAGTGCTTTGTATAATCGATATCGGCCAAAAAAGCTATATCGGTGCATCTCTAGTGAAATTAATTTAAACTCTGAATAAATATACAGTTGAAGTCAGAATTATTAGCCCCCCTGTTTATTTTTTTCCCAATTTCTGTTTAATGGAGGGAAGATTGTTTCAGCCTATTTCTGAGCATAATAGTTTTAAAAACCTATTTCTAATAACTGATTTATTTTATCTTTGCAATAATGACAGTAATTAATATTTTACTTAATATTTTTCAAGACACTTCTATACAGCTTATAGTGACATTAAAGGCTTAACTAGATTAATAAGGTGAACTAGGCAGATTAGGATAATTAGGCAAGTTATTCTATAACGATGGTTTGCTCTGTAGACTACCGAAAAAAAATTAGCTTAAAGGGGCTAATAATTTTGTCCCAAAAATAGTTTTAAAAAAATTTATAACTGCTTTTATTCTAGCCGAAATAAAACAAATAAGACTGTCTCCAGAAGAAAAAATATTATCAGACAAACTGTGAAAATTTCCTTGTTCTGTCAAACATCATTTGGGAAATATTTAAAAAAGAAAAAAAATCTAAACGGGGCTAATAATTCTGACTTCAACTGTATATGTACATACATTTCCATAGGTAAATAAACAGACATAATGATTCAGCAGATTAAATGTGGGCCTAGTTATAAGCTTCAAATACTCTGATCTCACAAATGCTGAACACACATGACAGAAAAATCTTTGCACTAATACGTTTAGACTTTAAGTAAAGGGTAACACTAGCAGTGGGAATAAAAACATGATCATGACTATGGTCTGGTTTAACTTAAACACAGGCTCAAGTTGAGCGCTGCTATCTCTCTGTTCTCTGAGCAGTCAGGATGGCATTAACTAATGTGTTAGCACAAACATAAGCGTATCCTTGGCTGTCAGATCTGGCTTAAGGCTCATTTCCCAAACATGGCAGTGTCTCCATTGGAAACACATGCTAGTGAGACCACTGCTCTGCTCCTAATTCTGACGCCACAGAACACAGCGAAAACCCCGGAAAGCTTTCAAAAACTCGTGTCTCACCCCTGTGAGTTTATCCAGGTTGTCCTCCAGCACTTTTACAGTGAAGAAAAACGCTCGCTTGGCCAAAGCTTGTCGGTCCACATCTCGCAAGTACTTCCTGTAGCACACAAAATATAAAGAAATGTCGTATTGTTACGCGTTTAACCCGTGTGCACTGTTCAAATTGACTACCCTTGTGTTATGTTCGGGATGAAAACATCCACTGAGTTAAACTGCTGTAAAATGCATCAGACACATTTGTTATTATTTTGCATAAATCTGTTTATCAACCTCAGTCCTGATCAAAACTACTAAATGTTTTTTATAAAATTACAGAATTTAACTCTTTAATTGTCAAATTCACAAATGATGTCACTGATTTGGTTAAAAGAACACACACAAAATGACGCATTTTCAATAAATAAAGTAATTGTGGACTGGATTTTTTAACCTTTTATTACAGTCTTGGCACATTTAATGGTGTATAAATACACAGTCTTTGTTTTTGTTTACTGCGTGTAGTTCTAAGAGCTGAGATGCATATTTAGATTTTGTCAGACACATCAAGGTAAGCACACAAAGTTCACTTTCACACACATACACACACATTTTAATTTGCTGTTATATTCCATATAATTCGCCACAGATCCCTGCTGAAAAATCCTGCTTAAACCAGCCTAAGCTGGTTGGCTGGTTTTAGCTGGTTGACCAGGCTGGTTTTAGAGGGGTTTTGGCCATTTCCAGGCTGGTTTCCAGCCATTTCCAGCCTGGTCTTAGCTGGTCAGGCTGGGAGATGACCAGCTAAAACCAGCTTGACCAGCCTAGCCAGGATGGGAGCCCAGCCAAAACCAGCTATGTCCAGCTTAAACCAGGCTGGTCCAGCTGGTTTTAGCTGGTCATCTCCCAGCCTGACCAGCTAGAACCAGGCTGGAAATGGCTGGAAACCAGCCTGGAAGTGGCCAAAACAACTCTAAAACCAGCCTGGTCAACCAGCCTAGGCTGGTTTAAGCTGGATTTTTCAGCAGGGATAATCGGGGGGGGGGGTTAATACCTTACATTACGTTTGGCTAGCTAAGGCAATCTATTCCCAGGAGGGGGAGTAGATCCGGAATGGAGAAGTCCCAGAGTAAAATGAGAAAATATGATACACCATTGTTTTGGAATATGGAAAAACTGTCTGTATTTACGCTGTTTTCATCAGTTTTTATATTATTTGGTTTTATTCCAGTTTACGTAAAGCACTTTAAAGTGTCACTGTGTATAAATGTGCTATATAAATAAACTTACCTTGCCATGTCATGTAAATATTTCGCACAGACTTATTTAAATACACAGTCTTTGTTTTTGTTTACTCCATGTAGTTCTGAGAGCTGCGATGCATATTTAGATTTTCTCAGACACATCAAGGTAAGTGCGCAAAGTTCACACTCACTCTCACACACAAATTAATTTGCTGTTTTACTCCACATAATTGTATAATTACAATAAGTGAGATCCGAGATGTGACGGGGGGGTTCGGGGTGGAAGAGAAGGAGAGATGAATTAGAAGAGTTAGGACATTATGGAGCCAGATCAGTCTCAAAAATAATACATTTATGCAATTTACAATACACATTTACAAAATTGAATTTGTATATTCTAAACGTTATTTATAAATGTGCAAATCAAACTCCTAAATTCAAAACACGATTCATAAACGCGCAAATGGCTGAGATCAATACTATTTATTACGTTTGGCTAGCTAAAGCGATCTACTCCCAGGAGGGGGAGTAGATCCAGAATGGAGAAGTCCCAGAGTAAAATGAGAAAATGTGATACATCGGTGTTTTGGAATATGGAAAAACAAATTTTGTAATTATTTGGTTTCATTCCTGTTTATGTAAAGCACTTTAAATAAAAACTCTAAATAATAACTCTGTCATAATAGTGCTAAATTTTTAATTAAGGGATAGAAATAGTTCAGAAGAAATCCAAATAATGTTCAATTAAAAAGTGAAAGTAAAGCAAAAAGACAAAATCTATCATGCAAAACTATTTATTACGTTAAAAACAGCTCATTACACTGCCGTTCCGCATGTTCTAAATATGCAAACACTGAACAAATGTATTATAGTCAGTGGTCTTACTTTCCCTGGTCGGGGGTTCTCTGAAGCATGAGGGAGATTTTGAGTAATGTGTGGTGATCTTTCAGTTGTGACAGAACATGCAGCAACAGCACGATGGATCTGTTCATATGAGATGCAAAACTACCAGGACGATCGATCTCATCTACTGGAATACGCCAGATGCCCTGAGGAAGAGAAGGAGAGATGCATTAGAAGACTTAGGACATTATGTAGCCCAATCAGTCTCAAAAATAATACATTTACAATTCACAATACACATTTACAAAATTTAATTAGTAAATTCTAAATGATATTTATAAATGTGCGTAAATTCAAAACATGATTCATAAACGCACAAATCCAGTTCGTAAATTTAAAACAATTCATAAATTCGCAAATCCAATTCGTAAATTTAACACAATTTAAAACACGATGAAAAAATTTGCAAATCCAATTTGTAAATTCAAAACAAAATTCATAAAAGCGCATATTCAATTCGAAAATTCAAAACACAATTCATGAATGCACAAATTCAAAACACAATTCTTAAATTCGCAAATCCAATTAGTAAATTCAAAACACTATTCATAAATGTGCAAATCCAATTTGTAAAATCAAAACTCAATTCATAAATGCACAAATCCAATTCATAAATTTAAAACACAATTCATAAATACACAAATCCAATTCATAAATTTAAAACACAATTCATAAATACACAAATCCAATTCGTAAATTTAAAACAAATTATAAATCCACGATCCAATTCGTAAATTTAAAATAATTCATAAACGCACAAATGCAATCCGTAAATTCAAAACACAATTCATAAATGCGCAAATCCAATTAGTAAATTTAAAATTCAATTTATAAATGCGCAAATACAATTCATAAATTTAAAACAAATTATAAATCCACAATCCAATTTGTAAATTTAAAACACAATTCATAAATGCACAAATCCAATTCGTAAATTTAAAATAATTCATGAATCCAGTAAAAAGCTTTCTCTGAATTAATGAAAGTTAGTGAGTGAAATGGCAAAGTCAAGGCTCTTCATAATGTCCATTTCTTTCAGAATTCTCAGCATTCCCAATTGCACCAAAATGTGCTCTTGCTTGAAGCCATTCTCATTCGTTTGTGGTTATACGCCTGACAACAGCCATGTGTGCGTCCTGACGCAAAATGTAGTGAAAAGTACTACACAATAGTAATAATTGCAGTGTTTACATGTCTGTACCTGCACTTCAATAATGCAACTAAAACAGGAATACCCCACATTTAGCTCCATTATGACTCTAGTCAGATTAAGGTCATCAATAGTCACTGTTTCCATGGTAGACTCTAAATCAGACTATTGTCTTGATCGTATTAAAATCAGAGAGTTGGTGTCCATGAAAACATACTCAACGTTGGCTGACAAGAAGACTCAGGTCACCGCTGAGCTTCTCTTTCCAGCAAAGTCCAAAAAAAGCACAGAGGGCCAATTAGAAACCAATTTAGGGCTTTACAGACATCTTTCAGTGCAAAACAGACCTCCAGGCAAGTCCATTAACATTCACAAGAGGTAAACACGCAGAAGGAAGGAGTGGTGCTCACTGGAGAAAAATGAAAGATGCATCTGACAAAAGGGAAAAAAGGAGGCATTTTATTGTTATGAGGCCATCTGCTCTTGGCTCTTGATGTGTTGGTCTCTGGCCATGAAGAAAATCTGCCCACTGATGAGAAATCTGCCTCAGCCCACTCTCTCTCTCTCTCTATCTCATGAGTGTCATCAGAAATAACTCCATCTTGGAGGAGATCTTTATATAAACCTCATATTCCTCAAAGATCCGGGGATCTCCCTTGTGCTGTGGCAACAAATAACTTTGTGTCAAGATTAAAAGTACACAAAGAAGTTAAAATTAAGCATATTGATTGTGTTAGCCCACATTGCTGGTGGTCAGCAATTCATCTGTGCATGAATTGCAAAATTAATCTGAATAATCTCAAATTAAAATCTGAAAATGCACGTCCTGATTGTTTTCAGGTAAATTCTCAGATTAGGTCTGTCTGAGGTAGTGGGCGTGGCTAACATACTTAACCACGCCCCTCCAGCTGTCAGTTTTGACAACAAACAAAATTGGAGAAGGAGGAGTCTGTTCCCGAAACCCTTTTCATTAAGTTTCTGAATGAAACGCCTACTTTACTACATCCAATCAGCTCACAGTATAAAAAAGCCACGCCCACTGTTTTCTCATTTTATTTTCTGTTTCTCTAAGAACTGCATCACAATACGAAAAAAAAAAATTAAAAAATGGTCGCAACTTCTTGTTTATGCGGACTTTAAATTCACAGAATGCATCTGTTTGAGGTAGTGGGGGAGCTAACATACTTAACTACGCCTCTCTAACTCAGTTTTGACAACAAACAGAAATGGGAGGAAGGGGAGAAGTCTGTTCCTAAAACCCTTTTCCTGATCTTTTTGAATGAAAGGCCTACTTTACTACATCCAAGCAGCTAGCAGTACAAAAAACAAGCCACGCCCCCTGTTTTCTCATTTAATATTCCATTCCTCTAGTAACTGTGTCACAATACAAAGTAAAAACGGATTTTAAATTCTTAGATTAGGTTTGTCTGAGGTATTGGGCGGGGCTAACATAACCACACCCCTCCAACTGTCAGATCTGACAACAAACAGAAATGGTGAGCAGGAGGAGTCTGTTAGGTTGTAAAAACTCTCCCCAAACTCTTTTCCCCATCTTTATGAATGAAACGCCTACTTAACTACATTCAATCAGCTTGCAGTAAAAAAAAACCCAAGCCACACCCACTGTTTTGTCGATTAATATTTCATTTTTCTTGGGACTTAACCAAACCCCTCCAACTGTCAATTTTGACAACATGAGTTAGCATGTCTTTAATATTGATTTCCATGTTGTTAGCATGATTCCAACATGAATTTGCATGTTGTAAGCATGTTTCTAACATGAATTAGCCATGATTTTAACATGAATTGACATAAATTAGCATGCTGTTAGCAAGATTATTGCATGGATTAGCATATAAACAGCATGAATTAGCATGTTGTTAGCATGATTCTAACATGAATTAGCATAAAACTAACATGTTCTAGCATGAATTAGCAAGCTGTTAGCATGTTATAACATTGATTGGCATGTTGTTAGCTTGAATGCAACATGAATTTGCATGTTTCTAGCATGAATTAGCATGTAACTAACAAGATTCTACTATTAATTATTATGTTGTTAACGTGCCTAACGTTGATTAGCATTTTGTTAGCACGATTCCAACAGATTATAATGCTATTAGCATGATTCTATGAATTAGCTTGTTGGCATGAATTAACATGTTGTTAGCATGTTTCTAGCATGAATTAGCATGTTGTTACTATGAATTAACATGCTGTTAGCAAGAATTACCATGAATAAACATGTTAGCATGTTTCTAGCATGAATCAACATGTTGTTAGCATGTTTCTAGCATGAATTAGCATGTTATTATCTTTCTCAAGCCACCATAACTCTCCCCAAACCCTTTTCTAGATCTTTGTGAATGAAATGGCTACTTTCCTACAGCCAATCAGCACGCAGTAGGAAAGCAAGCCACGCCCACTATTTTCTCTTTTACTACTTTGTTCCTCTAGGGAAGAAATGGTCTTTAATGAAATGGTATCACCTATATTCTGAGTGCACCTCACACAGGTGAGTGGGCTTGACAAACCACCTGTAGAAAACACTCATCTCTGTCATTTCCACCAGCTTTGCACCAGACAGTTTCTTACAATCACTCAACATCTCAAAAAAACACACCAAAGTGCATTAATGAATTGAGCTTCACACAGGTCTCTCTCTCTCTCTCTCTCTGTGCTTCATCTAGTCGCTCCCTCCAGTCGTGTGCTGGTCTGGTGTGAAGAGTATCTGGCTGGAACACAGCAGACTAAACTCAGCAACTGACAATGAGCAGAGCTGGCGAACTAATGAGGATGCCAAGAGAACATACACACTCTGCACAAGAACTCAGACACTTACAGTTATGCAAGCTCCATTTCACGTGGCACTACGTTCAGAAAGCAACAGTATGCTGCATTCTCAGGATGACTGCGATCGTGCCGATAGACATTAGCATGAACTGTTTCCTTTATTGTTAAATGTACTACTGTTCTGTCAGGGTGGAGCAAGATTAGATCGCAGTAAAGTCAAGGTAAAACTGTGTTTGAAACCCAATTTATGTCTATAGTCCCTTTCACACAGTGATGCCGGTAAATACCCGGAAAAATTTCTGGAACGACTTTACTGGTAAATTCAATAAAGCGCTGTTCACACAGGCGAGGACAATGCGATATTTTTACGGAAAAGACCGTTCACACATCCATTTCAAAATACCAGTAAATTCTGACATTGTTAACCAGAAGTGAGCTCTAAACGGCTGCGTTTGTGTTTGTAAACATCTGACTACATTATAAACTCTGTGGATGGATCAGTGTTGTGAACAACTTTGATGAAAACATATGGGGGAACGCTTCCGCATGTCGAGATGTACATGATATACGTGTGTGCTGGCGCTCACCGACTGCTTCACGTGCACACGCGTCACAGCTTGAAGGTAAACAAACGACGGCTTATTATCTTATCAATGACTATTTACGCAGTTGGCATTAAGAAGGAACATAGAAATGTCACCTGACTAACATCTAGCAGCTGATTGTGTCTGGGAAAATATTCGAAGGCTTTTATTTTCATAAACCGCGCAGACATGAATGCGTCTGAGTGTTCTGATTGGCTGAAGTAGACGTCTCACGTCAGTGCATTCCTCCTTCTGCGTTCCCGCAGCGCAGCATTCCGACAAATTCCCGGTAATGTTACAACTTCTCTTTCCAGAAAATAGCCAGAACGAATTTACCGCTATTTTACAAAAAGGGCCTGTTCACACATACACACCTTTACGGAAAAATTGCCGGTAATTTCCCGGAAAGGTCTGTATGTGAGAAAAGGGCTTTTGACCCTTGTGTGCTGTTAGGGATGTTTTCATCCACTCTGGGGTGATTTTGAGTCTTAAGCCTGATTTATACTTTCACCTGGCACCGCGTCGCGGACGAGGCTTTTATACTTGCTGCATTCGCCGTTGTGATATTCTTTGAAACGTCAGGGGGCGGTTAAAAGAAACCCACTGTAAAGTCAGACGG